TTTTGCATGTTACAAGCTTGTGAAATTATGCTTTTTTTAGTAGCATTTTCCTTGATTTGTTTATGAAGATGACCTGCTGGCTTGAGTTGTTTTGCATGGTTAGCAACATGAATGCAGACTTCTCTGTCAGACAGTTCACAGCTTGGGCTGGCTGCATCTAAAATAAAAGTGAAATCCCATGGCAGAAATACTTTCTTTGCTCTATTAGTCACTGGCTGAGATAGTTGAGTGTAACCATGTCTAAGATGATTCACAGAATGCTTTAACATCTGATTAGCTCAGAGAAAAGAAAATCTGATTCAGGGAGTTATTTTTCCATGTTCCGAAACAACCTATATTGTGATGCCTTTTCACTGGTGGTTTTATGTGGTATGAAAGCAAAATAGTGCTTAAGGCTAGAAGGGGATGAGCAACGCTTGCCATCTGGAAGTTGTCAGAGCAGCTGAAGCCTTGCAAGCAGCTATTGGTGACCAAGTGACAACATCATGTTGACAGAATCTATGTAGCTAGTGAAATAATGCATATATAAATGCAAATGAGATGACAATTAAATGTTGAGTTAATGAACTGAACATTCACTTGTCATTATCGAATATAACACTTAATCATGCTGTATGCTAACAAAGAAGAATATTCTTGCTGAAATCTCACAGTGCCATTTTGCTAGCAAGGTGCATTTCAGAGTGGTTACATGAGTAAAGATAGAATTTCTCTCACTTTACACAAGGGTTGTATTTCTGGGAGTTATTGTCAATTTCTAGTGATCTCACATGGATGACATCAGGTATTTTACAGGGCTTTCTCATTTTGCTACAACTCTAGTCCTTTCAATACTGTGATTTTTTTCTAGGTTTTTTTCATGAGATTAGGATCTCATTTTGGTACCTTTGAGGCAAAACCTTGCTGCCGCTTCTCAAAAGCGGTTCCATCTAAAATCATCAAAGCTACTTGCAAGCCTCGACCCAGGAAAAAGCTTATGCCTTTTTGTGTTCTCATAGGATGCTGTATGTTCAGAAATAGCTTGGTGTACTGCATTCTGTTATCTTTTCCATGCTGAACCAGATTAATTTGTACAGCTCTGTGTGTGTGCAAAATATTACTTACGCATTTAAAAATAATCATTATTTGGTATTTTAAATATTAATGATGATACATATGTAAGAACCCTTCAGATATATTCATCTGGAAATCCCACTCACTGAAGTAAAATTTCTGTCTTAATACTGACTGAAGAGTTTGACACAAAGTAAGCTTTTCTTGGATGCTGATGTTTGACATGCTTCCTTGTTATTCTGGTTAATTATTTCTTATCAGAATTTTCCTTAGAAACAAACAGGGGAATAAAACATGCTCAGATCTGGTCAAAAGATGTGTATTTGCATTAGGAGTGGCTGCTTTGGTTGTCAAATTTCTAAGGGGAGGTAATCAGAACTGTATACCCAACCAGCAGGCAGGTCATATTATGATATCCTGAAGACACTGTGTAGACTGGGCAGTCCTGCTTCTGAGCAGGACCATGAATAGGGCATCCAGGGGACAAGGGTTCATATGCTATGTGCTGTTTGTAGAAATATGTACTGCAGCTAATCCATCGGATGTGCAGGTGTTTCAGTTTCATGATGAACTGGAATAACAACATAGCTTTTTGTTTTTATGATGTTTTTCATTGATCCTAGAGCAAAGTAATAAAGAGTCAAAGAGATTTTTAGTCCATTGTATAGTACAAGTAGTGTGGTTTAAGTGACGGTTGGTGAACTGATGCAGTCGGAAAGATTAATTTTGTCACATAAGAGGTCCCTGTGGAAGAAGCAGCACATTATATCACAGCTTTCCATGAGGCTACATCCAATCATAGATGTAGGTTATGTAGTTACTGCTGTTATATCATAATATGTCTAATGAAATCTAATTCAAAGACACTAAAGAATAGGTTGAAGGCAGAGCTGTCAGCAGTTATATTTATAATCATAAAGTAAAATTGGCAATGCTTTTTTCCAAGCCTGACTAGCTATTCTAATCTGGCTTTGCATAAACCGTGTTGCTGACTGTACTACTAAGGTATTTATTTTTGTAGAGGTTTAATTGGTTTTGTTTGTTGGTTTTTTTTTTTTTTTTTTTTTTCAGCCTACCCAGAATCTACTTTCAGTATTGGTGGCAAACATCCACTGATTACATATTTTTAATGAATAGCTTATATAGTAATTTCTTTCTGAGAAAGTCTGAGTAAAGGGTAGTAATAAGCAACCAGTAAAGAAAATTCTAGAATTTACTTGGCACCAAGTGTCTATGAGTTTGTACCTGTTAGCTTGTGCTATTTTTGCAATTCATGATTCATGAACCAACATTCCCACACAATGCACAATAAAATTTTATCATCTTGTTTATGGTAATTTATGGATGTTGTATACCTGGACTTCAGCAAAGCCTTCGACACAGTCTCCCATAGCATTCTCCTGGAGAAGCTGGCGGCTCATGGCCTAGATGGATGTACTCTTCGCTGGGTTAAAAACTGGCTGGGTGACCGAGCCCAGAGAGTGGTGGTGAATGGAACTAAATCCAGCTGGCGGCTGGTCACAAGCGGTCTCCCCCAGGGCTCAGTTCTAGGGCCAGTCTTGTTTAATATCTTTATCAATGGCTGAATATGAGCCAGCAGTGTGCCCAGGTGGCCAAGAAGGCCAATGGCATCCTGGCCTGTATCAGGAATAGTGTGACCAGCAGGACAAGGGAAGTCATCGTGCCCCTGTACTCGGTGCTGGTGAGGCCGCACCTCGAATACTGTGTTCAGTTTTGGGCCCCTCACTACAAGAAGGATGTTGCATTGCTGGAGCATGTCCAGAGGAGAGCAACCAAGCTGGTGAGGGGTCTGGAGCACAAGTCATACGAGGAACGGCTGAGGGAACTGGGGTTGTTTAGTCTGGAGAAGAGGAGGCTGAGGGGAGACCTGATCGCCCTCTACAGCTACCTGAAAGGAGGCTGTAGGGAGGTGGGGGTCGGCCTCTTCTCCCTGGTAACAGATGATAGGACGAGGGGGAATGGTTTGAAGCTGCGCCAGGGCAGGTTTAGGTTAGATATTAGGAAAAACTTCTTCACTGAAAGGGTTGTCAGGCTCTGGAATGGGCTGCCCAGGGAGGTGGTAGAGTCCCCATCCTTGGAGGTATTTAAAAGAAGGATAGATGAGGTGCTTAGGGACATGGTTTAGTGGTGGGATGGCAGGGTTAGGTTAAAGGTTGGACTCGATGATCTTAAAGGTCTTTTCCAACCAAAGCGATTCTATGATTCTATGATTCTATGATTCTATGATTTAGAATATGCTTTTCTGTTGTGTTGTGAAACCCCGTGGGAGTTCTGTCATCAGACGATGCTGTGGAGTACTGAGGGCCATACATTAGCAGCCTTTTTCTTGTTCCATTTGAACTAACCCACTTCTGTGCAGGATTACTCTGAGTGAGATCAAACCTACCATGTCTTCTAACTCCTCCTATGCCTTTCTACACTTAGATTACAGTGCGTTATGCTTTGTTTCTTCACTTCAAATGCTTACAGCAGTGCTAAAATTAAGACACTATGCTCCTCATGGAAGATAAATGCCAGAGATTGAAAATAATCCAGCTGTATTGTACATTTGGCTTCTACTTAATATACTGAGTGCACAAGAGATACAGATGGAGTGGAACAGAGCTTTCCTACCTCTTTGCCTATGTACTTGGGCATTAGAGTTAAAATTATCTCTGGTATGTGTTAAGTAGTAGACTCCGTTTTCTTCCTGATACAATTTTGCAGACCACTAGACCTTTCCTGATGATTGCCAACAAATATAATTTTGGATTTGCAAAATGTGTCTTAGAGTTCACAAGCCATCTCAGTATTTTGTGTAAAAATACTTATACTTGGATAGTCTTCATCAAAACGACATACCTGGAGTTACTGCTCTTTATTTTTCATCTCTGCAAAATCACATTTTGTTCTTGTTCGCAGAGGAGGATGTACTACTGCCTCTTCATTCTGTGCCAAAAATTACACCATTATCTTAGAGTACTGTGTGCCAAAACATGCCTTGAATCATTGCTGAGCTGCTTGAGGTAACAGAGAGGTGACTGGCATGGTATATCTTGGCTGGTTGCTACTGTTTTTTCTCCCTCCACTTAGCACTGCTATTATAAAGATATTTAACATAGTTGCTGTCTGCTAACAGTTTGGTTATATTACTAGATGTTATTACAGCTTGTTTTAGTTCACATTTGCATATTGACTTGAACTGTATTTCCTTTTAATGGCAGTATGCCAGACTTCATAATGATGTTACTGACTGGAAACTTGTGACAGTACAATGTGCATGAAAGAAGAAAGGGAACTTGCCTACTGACAGAGGCAAAAATGGTTAGCAGAGCTGGAAGAGAAGGCTGGTTGGTTAAGTCATGCCTTTGCAGTTTAGGTAGGCTCTATTTAGCCTAATAAAGAAAGATGCTTGACTTTTTTTGTACGCAAACCCATCACCTGTTAATGGTAGCAAATGCTTTTTTTTGACCTTTGAAAGTTCTCCAAGAATGCTTTCTCAATTATAAACAGGAGGTGGAGGGGAAGTAGAGAGTAGTCTAGGCAAAAATGCTCAGTAAAGTCTGGAACATGCATTAGAAGTTACTTTAAAAATGTCTGTAGTCCATAAATATGGGGTGGACCTATTAACTGATTATTTGCTATAAATAAAAAAGATGCTGACTGGACATATCTTCCTTGGTGACAAAGTAACATCGGGTTACATTGCAGCTATGCATTTTTCTTTCCCACTTGTAACAAGAGCATTGAGCTAATTAGATGACTAGCACTTTGACTTATGGGGGGTAGTAAAAGATTTTTGTTTAATTATAATTTCACACATCTTCCTAATAAGAAAAACTTGTGCTTTGAAGGCCTATTTTTACTTAGGTTTTCAAAATGCTGCTGTGTAATTCATATTGTATGTAGTCATTGTTTCAGTGCAGCCATTTCTTCTTTGTTGATAGGTTCTAGAAAGTTTTAAGATCATGGATTACAGTCTGCTCCTGGGAATCCACATACTGAACAGTAACATGAAGGAAAAAGAGGGAGAGAGTTCCCAGAGTGCATCGGATGCGAAACGTCCTGGAGGGCAGAAAGTTCTCTATTCCACAGCCATGGAGTCTATACAGGGCCCTGGGAAGACAGGGGACTCTGTCACCACAGAGACAACAAACACGTAAGTGCCATGACCTGCTCTTAAGGTTACTATTAAAACTTGCACATTCTGTTTCTTCATTCTGTGCCATTTGGTATTAAGAGGCAAAACGTTCAAGAGTATGCTGCATCTCAGAAATTGAAAGATTAAGCCTTTCTCCCCTCCCCACCCCGCCCCCCTGCGAAAGCTGGGCCACCAGGATTTGCTGCAGAGCAGGAAATCAAAATGTTGGTTAGTAGATTGATCATCTTTAAATATGTGATGGCAAATTTGGTTAGTTCAGAGTGACTTATGTAAGCACAAGAGGTGTTATGAGACAGCTATTACAAGAGTCCCAAGTATAATCTAATTTTAACTGGAAGCAGCTTGATGAGCCATAAGCAAAAAGTATTTATTACCATTGAAATGGATATTCCTACAGTGGTTATTTTAATTAGTAGAACTGTATCATCAACCACTGAAGTGCTGTCATATCCACATACAGCATTTCCTAAGATTAAGAACTGCTGCTTTCCTTTTTATTTTTCTGCAGTAGAAATTTAAGTATGTAGGTATTCTAGTTTCCTTTGAGATACATTCAGTGTTAGTGAGAACATTATGTTCACCATTCTCATTCTATATAATCAGTCCTTCACTATAATGAGGGTGTAATTTCAAGTTAACGATTTACTCTTCTCCTGGTTCTCCTGGGAGCCATCTAGGTAAATACAACTAATGATACAGAAACATGTCCTTAAACCCACAGCAAACAAATTGGAGAATCATGATACTTAGCATTCATAGAGTTTCCATATGTTCAGAGCTCTAGAATATAAATGAGACAGACCCGAATTTTACTGTTTTTACAGCATTATTCACATTCATAGAGGAGATGGTGAATGCTCTTGTATGGTGACAGAGGTGTTGCACTGGCAATTTTGGGGGGTGTTGGTTTTTGATTTGGGCCAAAGCCGATTATATAGGTCATCCAAGAAAAGTCCCTGTGGTTATTATGTGTGGCAACCCACCCTGGGCTCCCACATCATTAGAGCTAATGTAGGGCTGCCCATATCCTGAGCAGTGTAATACCACTGCTGAAAGCTTATTGCAGTGGTGGAGTCCTTCCTCGGCACCTTCTACTATCTATTCTCTCATATTGACATAACTGGTAGTGTGGCAGACCTCACTGAGGTGGATGAAAATAAGTGAGGTCTCACAAAAAAGACCCCTAGGTCAGTCTTCTGCTGTGGTTCCTGGTAAGGCCATACAAACATGAGGATGAGAATGGATACCCAGTAGCCATAACTGCTGCTTGTACTGGATTGAATAGACAGGAAATGCTGACAGAATATAGTTTTGTAAACCACTTAACACTTCCGAATGTCTGACCAGTTAATTGAGCTGAAGTTTACAGTAACAGGGTTTTACAGTAATTTAATCTCCACTTGTTCTTAAATGGTTTCCTATGTGCCTACAATAACAAAAAGCTTTCCCCCCCCCAAAAAAAGGTTGATTAGATGGTAGCCCTGTTTTGTCGGGGGAGGGACTACTGTGCTTTAGTAGCAGAATGGGGAATATACTCTCAACTATGTCTCTGGTAGCTGTTTCAGGTGTGTGTTACTTGTTTCTCAAACTGTTAAAAAAGATTTGGAGCTATTGCATGTGTTGCATCTCTAATCTCTTTTTCTTCTGGTTTTGTAGTGGGTCCATTAATGTCAACAAAAGCTGACAAACTGAAAATGGGATTTCAGTTTCTGGTTCTAAAAGCAATGGACCTTTTTTCCTAGGTGGTGGAGTAGGAAGAGAGGGTCTTAGGATGAGCATCTTGTTCTTTAAGGTCATGGCTGAGTAAATACTCTGAACCAAGTGGAGATCTGGACAGTCAGGCTTCTCAGCTTGATGCTGTTAGTTTTTCTGTCATTAATCTGTCTGTAAAGAAATTCTGGAAAAGCACATACTTAATTTTTAGTGAAAAATATACCAAACAGCCTTTTAATACTTGGAGTAATGTCCATACTCTCTACAGTTTTGTTACATGTGATCAATAAAGTGACAAAATTCTCCTTTAGCTAGGCAAAATTATTTATTTTCCTTAGTAAGAAACTGGTGTATACTTTTTCTAATTTTCAGATCATGCAAATATTTCCATTTCTATCTAAAAAGTTATCCTAAAATACTCCTTGTTTGTAATGGATATTTACCACTGGATCGCAGATACTTTAGGCTTGCTATTTAAAATCAGTTGTATGCTAAGTGACTCACATTTGACTGACTTTGCACTGTGGCATCTAGGTTTAACATTGTGCCTATTTCTTTGGGTTTGCAAGTGTGTGCAGTTCATCTGCTAACGGATCATCAGAGATGTCTTAAAAGAGATGTTTTGTTGTTTCTCTCAGAATGGGAGGTATTCCTGCTAAAAGCCATAAAGGAGAAAAGCTGCTTCTATTTATGGGTATTATTGATATTCTCCAGTCTTACAGGTAAGCTGAATTTCAAGTTTTTTATTGAATGAGCTATTCTGAAATTACTTACAAATGTGGAAGTTTTATAAAGCAGTTATGATTTTGTTTTTTATGCTTAGGTTGATGAAGAAGCTGGAACATTCTTGGAAAGCTCTTGTTTATGATGGGGTAAGTAGATTTTTAAAAATTTTTTTTTTGAACTGCTGATTTTTTAGCTAATGGAACTTTGACTTGACCAGGAAAGAGCTAGCTTTGGTATATTTGTAGTCTACCATCACCACGTGGTGCCTCAAGTGTATCATATGAAGTTTACCTGAGGTGTCCAGCTTATTTCTTGACAATTTTCTTGTGATTTACTTAATGGAAAATATGACTGAGACCTTTTTCAATCTTGTAGGATACTGTTTCAGTTCATCGACCAAGTTTTTATGCAGACAGATTTTTGAAGTTTATGAGTACAAGAGTTTTCAAGAAATTTCAAGGTGAGAAAATTGTGACTTTTTCCTCTCTTAAATATTTTTATAATCACTACTTTATAACGCTCCTGTCTTGGCAACAAAAGAATCATTTCTTCAACATCATGTAGCACTTACATTGCCAGAGACTCATCTTCTTACAGGCTTCTTCCATCAAAAGTTCAGATCAGGTTTTATGTTCACTAAAATTTCTACCACTGAAAGTCATTATCTTTCAGACTGTACTGGCCCTTGTTATTCAACATTTTGTCTGAAGACCAGTATTTTTTAAATCTGTGGAGGTGCTGAAATTGCACTCTTTTTTTTTTTTTTTTTTTTTTTTTCCCCGCCCCCCCAGCAGAAAGGAGAAGGGATGTTTCTCCTTAGCTTCTAGGAGACTGTTTTGTAAGTGTCCAGGCTTTTTATAAAGCAGAGTTCTTGACAAATAAATATAAATTGACTGGCTAGAACTGGGTAGTTTATAGAGGAATGAATACTCTAAAATGGATCCTAGTTAGCAGTTTGATAATCCTACTCATGGAACTGTGTTTGGTTTGGAGTTGAATGTTAAAATGTGGAATGGACATTTGGTTCAAATACTACAGAAGGTGTATTGAGCATATGGCATTGTATCAAACTGATAGAAGGCGTGTTGTTATCTGGAGCAAGAAATGAGTCTATGTGGATAGAGGTAGAAGAAAATAGAAATGAAGGATACAACTGAATGAGACTTCAGTGAAACAAGAATGACTACGAATACTAGCATAAATAAAAGGTGTTAAATGTTAAATCCTTCAGAAAAGGATGATTAATATAAAAATAAAAGATCCTGATGTAATATGACAAAATATGAAGCAAAATTCAGCTGAAATGGGGAAGGAGCCTTCTGAGACTCAGATCGTTTAAACCCTGGAATAATTTTGCCAGAGAACTGGTGGGAGCTCTGTTGTCTGAGACAATACTCAAAGGAACTCCTCTGCACTGGTAGAGAGTGAGTAGAGAACTTGATACTTCCATCTGTTGGACAAAATAAATGTGCTATGCAGCCATAGAAGTTCCCTGAACATCTGAATCTGTTTTGGTTTTCCTGTTCTTTTGAATTCTGACTGCTAGATTTATGTCACCATAAGACACAAAACTAGACTACTATTTCAAAACTATAATGTGCAATTAAGGAAATCATGCCTAATTTTCTCTCTAATCCTAATTTGTCTGTCTCATTTTTCCAGCTATTAACCTGTCTTAACCACTGTTACTGATCTGTTCTGCATACAAGACTATTAATCTACTTTAATATGGATTAATTGTTCAAATGTATTATCATTCATTTGTAAAATAAAGAATAGGGAGTATTCCTGCCTTCAGGAACATTGTTTCTAAACTTCAAGTTACACATTTCAGTTTAAACTCTTAAGCCCTGTTCTGAATGTGTGCTTCTTCCCCTAGTGCACAGAACAAGCCTCCATAAATAACAATAAAAACATAATAAGCAGATTCAGCCTTGGGCAGAGGCTAGCTCAGCAGCTATCTATAAAATTATTTTTAACAATATCCTGGAGCTATGCATCTCATTTTCTTCAGTCTTTAGCCAAGTGGCTTTGATGCTTTCAACTTGAGTTTTGTAGTAGAGCACAATATGAACTATTGCAGTATGTCTGGAGTAACCTTGCAGCCAATGCATGGGGCATGGCCAGCAGCTGGCAACTGAAAAACGGCTGGCATCCTTCTGAAGAAGAACTATAAATGGGGGTCATGATTCAGTAGTAGTGGCAATGGTCAGATCCTAGAGTTTCACCCAAAATGCCATGGCAAGTAGGCAGGCCCTGGTAAGAATTATAAAAAGGATGCTCATACCTGAGTGTACAAGCTATCAACATTTTGGAAGTGCTTATTTTATCCAAAGGAGATGTTTGGCATGTATCACTAAAGTGGAAATTTCTGCAGTAGCACGTACTTCGTTACATAGCAGTAGTTCACAGCTCGAGGAAATGATCATAACCTCTCAGAGAATACTCCAAACATCTTCTCAGTTTTCCTGTCGTCTTTTTTTTTCTGTATCATTCTGTCTCTGATTACGTGCATTGATACTGCATAGGAGATTTGTAACTTAATGATGTCAAAGTTGGTTAACTGACTTGATTTTTTTGTTCTACGAGCAGTAAGAAACCCCAGAAAAAAACAAAAGTACTTCACTCAGAGGTGAAATAACAATGCCTTTGGCTCTAGTTTTAATACAGTATTTGGTAAGTGGGTTTGTATCGGGATGTGTTTTTGTCTGTATCCAGAGATTCTAGCATTATAGATGGCTTGCTTTTCTATATGCTGTTAAAGATGTGCAGGGAGATAAGACAAAATCATTCAACACCTATGTTCTAATGCAGCTTTAAAGTCTTCACCTTCAAAGAAACGGTGTAATTCCATCACAGCCCTGAAGGCAACATCACAAGAAATAGTGTGTGCAGCTAGCCATGAGTGGAAGGATGAAAAGCGTGGCATTCTTGCTGAAGGACAAAGCTATGCCAGCCTTGATGAAGAAGGTAATGTCTTTCAAAGACATTTTAAAGAAATGTAGCATAAGCTCTAGAAGTCTAATAGAAGCTTTCTAGAAAGCTTCCAATCTGTCTGATCTTTCAAAACCTCAGTCAGGTTATTCTCATGGGGAGAGTTGTTAGTCATATTTGGCAGAATGGATGTTCAGGAGCAAGAGGAAGTTAGAATCAAGGTTATAGTATGATGTTAATCTTTTGGATTTCAGGAGAACCTAAAAAATTTCATCCAGCCCAGGAAGCAAATTAAGGCCAGAGACAGTGCTATTCTTTTCACTGACTTTTAAACGAACATGTCAAAGTGTTTTGAAGCTCAGTTCATTGTTCCTGGAGTCTTTTTTAAGAGATACAGACTTTGCCCCTTTCAGAGCTCATCTGCAGCCAGGCTCAAAGGAGAACCAACCACCTAATCCAGTCTGAAAACTGGGCCTTGATAGTGTGAGACCAGTCCCAGAACTTAGAAGAATTCATCGAATATTCATACCACAGTTTAATATTTGACCTCAGGGTTGCTCTGTATTCTGCTGAATGAACTGGTTGGCAGCTAAAATTCACCCTGTAACTCAAAAACATGCGGGTATAGGTACATGAATATTACAATCTCATCAATTCAAACATACTATAAAGCTTCAAGAGCACTATGTGCCTACATACACTTGCATAAAGATTCTTGGATTTGATTTGAAATTAAGTTTGTAATGTTGTTGTTTATTTTTCTGTATGCAGTACTAGGTTCACGACACCGGCCGGATCTAGTGCCAAGCACTCCATCTCTGTTTGAAGCAGCCTCCTTAGCAACCACAATTTCTTCTTCCTCCTTGAATGTAGATGAGCGTTATCAATGTGATCAACCTATGCTCTATTCTAGCAGGTAAAGGTTGTATATATAGAGGATTCCCCACCGTTTTGCTAGAAATCTGACAATGTGTGCACTGGAAGGGGGCTCTGCAAAACTAAAATCAGAAGGGGCAAGTGTCTCTCTAGCTCAGTCTTGAACCTCTCCAGTGAAGGATGGGTGCCATGTGCCCATAGGATTTGTTACTATATGTATTATCACAAAATAGAAAGTATAAACAGCAAAAATGTTACAGTATACTTTGAATTTTTTGTCATGCTCCAAAACTAAACTGGGTGTTAAAACTTGCTTAGGCCCTAGCCCGTGCCATAAACCACACTACATTAAGATCAGGTTAGGAAATACTTATTGTAACTTGGCTGTAGCCTAAAACAGCTGCAGAAAATTGTGATGTGCTGGTATAAGGGACCTACTTGTAAGTTGATCTTTATTCTTAATATACCATGCTGAATGCTTTAAATTCATTCGAAATGACCATTTTCTGAAATTAGTTTCTATGATTAGAGCTTGTCTAATTTTAACCCAGGAAGGATAAAAACAGGAAAGTCTCAAGAAAAGTTGTGCAGATGCCTGTGAGTTAGCTTGAACGTCATTTGAGTTGTGTTTGAATACACTTTAGCCGTGACTGTCCGATACCATGCTTATGCCAGTAAATCTTGCTGGGAGATCATCTGTGTGTGTCTGTACTCTACCTTGTACCCCTGAAGTGTGCTGTGTTTTGTTGTCTTGCCTGCTTGCAGATCTCTTTACCATGTGTTGCACTGCAGAATAGCCCTTTCTTTATCTGTTTTTGTCAAGAAGGGTAACTGCTGTGAACTCAAGTATCTTGAATTTTCTTTGGAGTAATTTGGAATCCTGGACTGCACAGTGTCTATATAAATTTGATAAACTTACTCGTGCAGATATGTGGTTCTGTTTAAACTGCACGTTGTCCAAAAAGATAAAGTTATTTTACAAGCAATCTTGAGGCAGTAGGATTTTACCTCCTATTAAAATCCGACCAACAGCATTTTCATAAGAAGTAAAATGACTTAGAGTTACTTGATCAAAGTGATATTTGCAGCTTCCCTTTTCATTAAGCTGAAATAAATCTCACTGATGTGGCATCTTCCATAGGTCTGATGGTTTGCTATAAAAATTTGGAATAAGGTATGGTTTGGGGTGTAACAAAGATGAAATTTTAGTTACAGAACATCACAAGTTGTTCCAAAATCATCTACACAAGGTTTAGGAAATAAAATTTCTAATGAATACACATCAGTAGAAATAGAGCTCCTTCAATTCAACTTCTGTCAGTCTTATCCAGTTTGTTGACAGAGGTTGTTGACATTGTATTCCATGATCTTTTACGAAGCTTTAGCTTTGCTAGAAATAAGGTTATAGAGTACTGGGGTTTTTTTCATTTGCTTTAAGCATCGAATAGGACTACAGAACTACTGTGTATTAGCATCAGTTAGCAGAGGAGAACTGCAGAGTTATCTGGATAAAGAGTTCAGATTTACTGTAAATAAAACCTTTCAAATACTCTTTACTCTCCATAAATTAATTGTAGAGAAAAGCTATGAGTAATTCTATGATATTTTCCTGTAAAAATATTCCACAAGAATTCTAAAATAAATAAGGTTTTTAGTAGATCTACACTTTGATTGTATGGTTGGACTTGTGTACTCTCCTGTTGTGATGTAGTCAATGAAATAACCTAAAATGCAGTACATGTTGTCAGTTGTGTGATTATCCTGCACATCCTTATCTTACAAAATCAGATTGGCACTGTAGTGTCTGCAGTCCAGCTTTGCCTACTTTCAATTCAGCAGTACAACAGGACACGCTCTCGAACACAGCAGACCTTGCACCAGCGTTTGCAGATGTGAGCTCTCTCCATGTCTTGTGTCAAAACAAAAGACCTTGCCCCTTAGCCAGGAGATCTGCCACAGGGGCTGACCAGCTAACATCCTTGCTGGTCTAGATGTAATCTCTTCAGTTAGGGCTTGGTTAGCAGTTTTTATCCTGACCAAGTACTGGATCATGGTGCAATCTCAGTATGTACAATTAACAAGGATTAGCTTTCCTGTCATAGCTAGCAACTTTCTTTTAGGATTTAAGAAAGCTGCTAAGCATGCTCAGTATTAAACTAATTTCCCCAAGATAGTTTTGGGCAATTTGCGGTTTTCTACCTACCTCTGCTTTCTGCGTCAGTGCAGGGAGGTTATTCCTTCTTAATGGCACTGTGTAATATACCCAGCTGAAGTTTTATTTATGTTTTTATGGTACATTGGACAAACTTCAGTCTTCCCATGAGAAAAGCTGGTGGGGAAATAAAACCACGAAAAAAAACCATGCTACAATGATGCATTGAGTTGTAGCTGTCTTAGATTTTTCTCACTGGAGTTCTGCTTTTGAGTATTACAAAATGTTGTGATGCAGGACTGATCACTTTGCCATTTGCCTCTGATAAACAGAAAGCCTAGAGCAGTCTTTGAAACAAAGCCTGAAGGAATGATTTGTTTACAAATGTGAGCCTGCTTTCAGTTTTTAAGTATGTAGTTGACTATGACATTCTGCTTCAAGTTATTTAATGGAATTACAGTTCGGCATCTTCTTCATCAGGCTTTTTCCCTCTCCTTCAAAGCATTGTGGCACAAAGTAGAGAGTACACGAATTTCCTTGTAACCAGTCAGAAATCTCTGGTTTAGAGTAATAAAGGGAGAGAATCCTGCATGCATAGTAATAATACGGTATCTGTACAGCTCCTTGTCTCCTACTAATGCTAACGACCAGTGTGTGCCTATAGCAGTGAGAAGGCAGATGCCATTATTTGCCTCATTAAAGAGAGCAGTACTACTTTTGGATACCTTGAAGCAGAAGATGTATTCTTAATGATTTTTTCTCAGAATTACCCTCTGTTCCTGTCAACCATGAACATAGTCATTCTCCAAGGAGAAGGAAGTGGCACTTTATATGAGAAAGAAGCTCAGCACCGTCGCTGCCTAAGGGTGCTCAGCACTCATGGTAGGACGCAAGGAACTGCTGCCAGTGTGGTTAAGCAGGCAGAGGTGACTTGCTGAGCCAGAGATGGCTCCTGAGGCTGTATCATATGAGGAGGGCTTATGTAGACCTGACTTGGTACAGATTAGAAGTAGCATAATTAATTGGTAGATAATGCAGGGCAGCATATAGGGACTTGTGATTAAAGCAAAAAAAAGAGAGACTGAGCAGCAGTCATAAACATACAGTTTATTAGGACTGTTTTTCCAGACTGCTAGCTGATTATTTTTCACGAAGTTATTCCTCAGTCCTTGAAGAGTTAGAGGAAACTCAGGGTGTTACCCAGGCAATGTAAAGAGGAACTGGTAAAAGTAGCAAACAAAGGAGTCGTCGGGAGGGGAAAATGGCTGTATTTTTCAGCACAAAAGGAACTTTATCTAAAAAAGGGAAATAAGGAAAAAATGGACAAATGTGACATATGTTATTCGGCAAATGTAGGCTTTCTTGTTTGTCAGAAGACAGCTAGTTTCTGTTCTATGAAGCTGTTTCTCAGTCAAGGGGTTCTGTCATAAGCAATGTCAAGTATTCATTTAGTAAGAGTACGGAATTTACAATTTATTGCTTCTATTAAAATTTTCAAGTATTTTCCACTCCTCCTCAAGTTGGTTTATATTTGGTGCAGAGATATTTTGGTACCTAAAAGGTCTGTTTTCCACTGGAATGTGTGTTCAATTTTGAGTGCAAATACACTTCTTTGAAAGGGTTTATTTGCTTTGTCTTAATAAATGTAATACATATTATACCAGCAATTATAACAAAAGTGATAATAGGTTCCCCCCCCCCAGTATAGTTTTCCTAATAGGTACTGATGAATTAAAGATGACAAATCTGAATGTTCTGAGCAGTATGACTGTTGTTTCAGCTGACATTGCTTTTAAAGTTGCAAAGAGCTGAAGAAGGTTAATGCCTTTACAGGTGCTTCTGGAAATATTTTAAACAGGAGTTTCAAGACTCAACAGAAAGTCTCTTTCCAGTTTATCTTTCAGCAGGTCTCATGGCTTCTAGTCACAAAGCCAAACAAAATCCCATGATGCATAAAGGGGTCTTAAAGACCTCTCTATCTTTAAGAGCCATGCCAAGATACTGTGGATTAGATGAGGAGGATTGCTGAATTCTTCTGATATGTTAGATCTTAGGAAAATAATCTATATGAACTCTAATTCTTGTTTCTCTTTATGTATTCTGTACCTCCTTTCTGTTAAATGTGAATGTAGTATGGACTTCTGCCTTCTTTTTCCTCTTCTTTCTGCTTTTCTGTGTATTTTTCAATTGTTTGTTTGTCTTACCTTTGCATTGCTGTTTTTTGGTGCTAACCACTTGAAATTTTGGAATGTTTTGAAGGGGTTGTAGGCTTTTTTTCTCTTAGACAGTCAGAACTTCCCTGAAACATCCAAACTTGTGACTGAAATGTCCCATGACTTGACATTCTATCAAACAGCCTTTTCAGACAGTTCAGAAAATAAAAGTAAAATCTTCTGCTGTTTTTTCAGTGAAAGGGATTTGCAGGTATTGGTTTTCCTGTTGTAAGGAATACTTAATCACACCTTTTGCCAGTCTGGTTTTCTACATAAATAAACTTTTGTGTGCTAACTTTAAATATTCTTTCTGTCCACCCATCACCCTTAGCTTCTGAAGCTTAGGCAAATTTCTCTGAATCTGATTTAAAGAGGATTAAATTCATGCAAGCTTCATGAAAATAAGCAGCTAGGTGGATGAAAAAGACTGGAATGCTCTAATGCTAGGAACAGATGCGCTGAGATGGTGGGGGAATCCCCATGGGAAAGAAAGAAAATTTGCCTATGATTGAAGCTACATGTAATTGTGGCTTAAAGAAAAGCAAGGCTTTCTCAGTTCTCCTGTGGTGGAATTACTTTTGCTTCTTAATATTTGTGTTTATTGTGGTTTTATGAAGTGTTTGTGGAAATAGAAGAGAGAATCTTGGCATATAAATGCTTGGCCTGGACGCATAT